CTTCTCTCTCTCTCTCTCTCTCTCTCTCTCTCTCTCTCTCTCTCTCTCTCTCTCTCTCTTTTAGATAGAGTTTAACTATTGAGACCAGGCTGGCCCAGAACTCATGGCTCTCCTGCCTCCGTCTCTCTCACAAATGCTGTTATCTGCTGGCCCTCTCTTCTGGCAATGGGCAGAACCGTCGTCCTTAGATCCTGTGGTGCCGGTATGCTTGGCTCTGCCTGTGTCTGCCTGATGTACCTTGTCCCTAAAATAGGAAACGGGCTCTCTTCCCACCCGGTGTGGCTGACTTGTTTCCTGCTTCCTTCCCCGAGGCATACAGAGGGTGTTCAGGTCTGTGCTCCGGGCCTGGAGAATGGAAGCGAGGCAGGGAGGCGGCCCTGTCCTCTGCTCTGGGATTTTTGTGACTGTTCCCTGTAGTGCAGACGTGGTTCCGTCTATTTTGGTAGCGTACCTCCCACTTCTCTTCGAAGGAGGAGGACTCCCCTGGAACTGGCAGGTGACCCCAGGTCGGTGTGCATGTTGGAGCCCCTCTACCAGAGAGAGGCAGATCTCCAGGAGCTGTCCCCATAACCCTCAGTTGGGGAAGACAAAGAATCGGTGGCGGTTTGTCTCTTGCCGGGTTTGGGGACCTTGGCGAGAAATGGCCTATCATTTAGGTTGTCACAGTTGGGGCTGCAGGAGGAGAGCGGCGTGCCTTCTCGTCACGGTTAAGGCAATTGGGAGGTGGGTCATTCAGCAGACACTTGGAATTGTAGTGACTTCGGTTGTCCGGTCACTCTGGCAGCCATCTTAGCACCAACCAGTTCTGGCTGGCCCACCTGAAATGGAACTTCTGGCCTTTCAGGCATCCTGTCCTCAGAGATAAACGAGATTAGATGAGGTTGCAATTCAGCCTGGTCACCTAGGAAGTCGTCGGTGAGACAAGGGAGGGGAAGGGCCATAAGTACCCCTACCTACCTCTCGGTGGCCTCAGAAACACTCTTGCCTTGGCCAAGTTTGCGTCGGAGCCTGTGTGCATGTGTTTGTGTGTCTGTGTTTATGGCCATGCTCCGGGGAGTCTGGGTACGGAGTAGGGGGTCTCCTGGCCAGCTGGCGGGACCAGGGAAGGGAGGCTTGGCCACTCCACGGTCCTTCAGGTTTCTGCTCTCTCCTCCTCAGTGGTCAGCTTCTTGACTGAACAGCGTGGCAAGTTACCACCTAGTTACCTCAAAGTAAAGCAAGTGCTTCCCTTCGCTTGGTTAAGTCTAGAAAGACTGAACCCCGTAACCAGTGCCGCCGTGTGCCAGCAGACAGACAGAACTGCCGTTTGTAGGTGCTTCCGGACCCCATGAGGGGGTGACAGTCAGCAGGACTCCCGTTTAGGAGACTGAGGATGGCAAGGGGACGTCACAGTGCTCCAGGATTCTAGGATGAATGTCATGTCGACTTCCTTTTATATATTTTGTTCCCCTGAGGCTGTGGTCTAGTGCTTGGGGGATGGACCCGAGGCTTTAGGATAACTTCCTTCGACCCTGAGCCCAGTGGTCACAGGGGGGAATCTCCAGAGGCTCTTTAGTTAGCGGGGCCTGGACTGAGTGGCCACACACCAGAGCCTTGCCTCTGCCCCACACTTCCTAGCACTTCCGGGAGGACTGCAGGGGCTCCCCTGAGGCCAGAGTGAGGACCTCTGGTAAGAGCTGTGTGTGCTTCCTGCCTCTCTATTTCCTCCAAGGTACCTGGATTTTGTTATTTACTTGCTTTTTGGGGTGTGTGTGTGTGTGTGTGTGTGTGTGTGTGTGTGTGTG